TGTCTGTATCTGTTAAAATGGAGGGATGCTCTATTATTCTATGCATTATTCGGGCTATTTTGCATTCTGACCCAGTTCAGTTCACCAACAAGCCAAGACAAAGACGTATCACACAAAACATGAAAGAAAAAATTCAGTTTTGCATGATGATTTACCGTCCAGAAAAGAGAAACAATTATTAGAAACTCAATTTTGGCATCCGCTGTAACTTCTTACAAAAAAAATACCACGGTCACAACATGGACATTTTGATGAAAGTTAATTAGACATTTTAAATGGAGTAGTAATTACTGTCTCTCACTCCCTTTCTCACATGTACAGTTATATCAGCTCATTAAAACCTCAAACATGCCCTACTTATTCACTTACAGTACTCCCATACAAACATAGCTGTCTGCTATTGCTATTATCATCACTATTTATTTCTTCAAAATGGACTAACGCACAAAGAGTACATCTGTGTCATGCTCTCTGCAAACACAGACCTGGATCACAACAACTTTGATTATGGATTAGACAATGGTCAAGCAGACAGATGTATGAATTCATCTGCTGCACAAATCTGTTTACTTCTTTGGGGACAAACTCGTGCTGGTGCACACATATTTGGGAATCTGGAGTGCAAACCAACCCACAAACTGTGAAATATGACAACCCTGTAATTTGTGTTGGGTGACTGGTAAGAAAATCTGGGATTCAACCAGACAGATTTGTCTCCCCCTTCCTATATCGGTTCATTAGATCAGTGGTTCTCAAACTTTTTTCAATAATGTACCCCCATTGAAAAAAAAATTCAGCCAAGTACCCCCTGATCAGCGCAAAAACAATTTGTTTAGGAAGAAATGCCTATATAAAGAGGTACAGTAAAACAACAACCTTGTAACTGAGAAACACTTAAATGCTACATTTCAAATGTTTACTATGCAACACTAAATTCATGGCAAACCAATTTTAACATCATGCAATAACACTAAGACGACATTAGTTGCATTGAACTGATCTTTTTAATAAGTTGTACTAAGAATTTAGTGAAAAACATGCGCTTGTGCTTCACTGAGGACCTTTGTCATTCTCAGTGACAGGGAGGCAAACTGCAGTTATTACACTTCGCGTTTTGAAATATGTGAAACTCTGTTCATATAAAACCCACACTGCTCAAACTTCGTTACTTTTCCTAAAAATGTGTATATTTATTTATTTTGGTGCGAGGGGAATGAAGAGAAAAAATATATGAGCATTTTATGAGCATGGGATTTTGACCCCTCATATAAACATGTGCAAAATGCTGCGCTATACTTTGCAGCCACAAGCCGTTGCCAAGCAACGCTTATTGTTTAGGTGTCCTTTGATAAGCAGGCAGTCATATCATTAGCTAGAACTAGCTAGATCTGATAGATTTGGAAATAAACGCGAGTGAAGTCCGGACGCGAGAGAGAGAGATCAGAGACCAGATCAGCTGCTGCTGACGGAGAACACGCAGCTCTGCATGATCACAGCTCCGCCGCGGACCGTTGAGTGGAGCAAAATTAAATACACTAAGAGTTAGACCTAACACACTTAGGTAAGAGACATCTCACTACATGTTACTCTGAGAACTGGGGTAGTTTATCTACTCTGGAACTAGCTATACTAGTTATACATATGTGTATTCTTTACTGTTCGGTCACTTATTACAGGTTCAGCGAGCTGCACGAGACTGACGGGCTGTCAGGAGAGGGAGAGGAAAAGAGAGCACCCCGTTTATTTTTCCCATTTCATTATCCAGAATTACTGTAAACCTTTGAATAAAGTAGTTAATCTACTATTAGTAGTTTGTTTAAATGCATTAATGATGTTGTTTTTTTCATTAACATAAAATAAATCTCACGTACCCCCTGCAGTACTCCAACGTTCCCCCTAGGAGTCCGCGTACCCCCATTTGAGAACCACTGCATTAGATCATACAATCCCCCATCTGAGTGTCCGAGGATCTCCACCCAGGGCTTGCCTTGTAAAGGTGCACTATGTTTTCTAAGAATTGTGAGTAGATAACGTATTTTTTTATTCAAACCAACTAACCTGGCTCAAGCTCAAGCTACATTCTCTCCAACCAAATCATTGTGTGTTCTGGAAGAATTCTACAGACACAAATGACATTTCACTTTATATGTATGTATGTTTAAATCTCAGTGCAGTGCAGACGTGTAGAAGAGCTGAGCTGCCATGGCTTCCTCATCTCACAAGCAGTATGGGGATAGTTTCTAAAAACAACCTTTTCCTTACTTATTGCTCTAACACAACTTGTTAGAAAACCAAAAATGGTGATCCCCGTTCTCCTCTTTTCTTGTCATGAGTGCCACTGGTAAGCATGAGTCACCGATTGTTTTCTTGTTGACAAAGTTCTCACTAGGGATAGGGCAGCTCACATTATAGGTTTAAAATAAGTCTGTGTTTATTTTTATGAATCCAGTCATTAGATTTATCTAAAAAGGCACATTTGAGTCTTGCCAATACAGACCACTCCAAAACAGAAAATGGCCCCTGGTGAGCTCTAGAGGCAGGTATAGGGATGTTGCATCATGACAGCTCTCTAAACACACGATGATTAGTATTTTATAGACCAGGCAGTCTCATATAAAAGCAGACATTAACGTCTCACTGGTGTAACACTATACAAACACTGGAGGCTGAAAACTCGACTGCCTCAACGCCCTACTGAGGACTGAGAAATGTAACTGCTGCCATCCATCAACAAAATGAAGGTTGTTGGTCCGAGGTATTCAAAGCCACCTGTTTCCTGTCCAGCGGGCACCAACAACAGGGTCAATGGGAGGAAATTGCTGGATGGGAGCTAATGTATCTAACAGCAAGCATGAGGATGATTGATATTTGCAGCATCTGCTACATTTCTTCAAATGTTCCAAATCAACATATCCACTCGAGTCATTGGTCAAAGTCATTTTGATGGATGAGAAATGTCTAAATATCAGCCAAAGAAACTAAACGGATAAACCTTCAACATTAAGCTTCAGCATTAGCGCACATCATATGTGACATGCTCCTGTAACTGCTGTGTCTAATTAACATATAATTACATCCTGATTAATAATTGTAGCTCAGTGCTGCGTTCACTCTTTAATAATATCAATTGAAGCTCTAATTTGTGCAGAACATACAGGGAATGTTTTTTCTAAGTGACATTCAGGAGTCCACATGGGGTCCATGGGAAAATTAGGAGTATATCAAAACACACAGAAGAATGTGGTTTAATGTTCTTGTTATCTGAAGGGGCCTCAGAAGAATCTGCCATTTTACATTTCTCAGAAACAAAACAGTAGATATAATACGAGGCAGTTCTCAGTCAAATTAGATGACAAGTGCAAACAATGAAACACTATTCAGAGGATTATGAACAAACATTTCTGGGCATACATGACAAAGTCTGTGTCTCTCAGAGTAAGTCAGTGTTTGTTATTTTGCTCGGACTGCCAAGCTTTTTTGCCACATCTTTCAATGCGCAAAATGGAGCCAAAAGCAGACCAATACATCACACATTTAAAAAAAAAACAGCCTCTGGTTATGTAAAGCACTGGATTAATATACGAGTGGGATCTTTTCAAGCAAACCCGCTGAATCTTTAGGGAACTTGGCAGACTAAATGTGGAGGTCAGAGCTGCGGGTCACAACCTTTACAACAAAAACAACCAGCTCAACACAGAGCAGAAGGAAAAAACACAGAGGAGATTCACAAATAAAAATCCAACAATTAGAACAGATGTTGTCATTTATAAGTTATTCTACATTTTAAATTAACTTGATAGGGTGAACATGTGTGCCTTTCTGAACAATAACACACAGTCAAGGGTCTAGCAATTGTAGACTTCAGTTCATTGTTAACCTTCTAAATTACGCCTTCATACACACTCACATAATTATCTATAGGATGTCACTAAAAGAGTTTATCTCATTAAAAGAATAAAGGAACCAACATTTAGCAAGGTAATTACACTGCCCATTAAGCCATTAGTTCATGATACCACATAATTACCTTGAATAAGTACTAAGCAATTCATCTACCCCAAATTAAATCTGTGATATTTACAAAAAACTTTTTTCTTTCTATGAGATTAAGAAAATAAGCAACATATCTTTCACTTTTTTTATAGCATTATTAGCTATCGTTCCTGCTTGTCATGCTGCTTGTGTCTGCCACAATAGGCCTCCCTTGTGTTTTGCAGAACATCAACTGCATCAAAATGAATAATCCTACAATGTAACATCAATTATTATGAAGTTCAATGAGTACTTCATTGACAACAGGTCACAGTTTGCCAAAGATCTACTCAAATGCTTGCACTTTGTGTTGTAAAGTCTCAGCGACAGCAAGACAGACTGAATAAGCTCTGAACAAGGCCTCTCTGTCTTTATAATGGCTCAAGTCTGCGCCCGAGAAATATGACACCCAGTATCGGGAATGATTAAGAAGAGAGAGCACCAAACAAAAAACCCTTTAAAGAAAACTCTACAAGTACGCTGAGCTGTCAGTCACAGAATTTGCCCAACTCAGCTCTCAGCCTGTAATGATGAAGCAGAGGCATCAGAGTTTGTGCTCTGCTGCTCCCTAGTGGGGGCAATTGAATAATGTAGTTTGAAGATCTGAGATAAAATACCCCTTTCCCCTTAAAAACAAGAACAACCAAGTAAGTCTGTGCACTAAACTATCCAACTATTGGCATGAATAATGGTCTAAACTAAGATCTTAAAACAATCATGGGATTATAGCTGGAAACATTAATTTGTATTATAATTTGTATGAAAATGTATGCATTATCATGATTGGTAATATACAAATGTGACATATTGTTTAGTGGAAACCAGTGGCATCAGCACAAGCTATATCATATATTGATACTCACAGAAAATAGCATTAAAAAGCCTTAAATAACAATTTTTACACTCTACACGTTACATGACAATCGATACAAAATAAATATCAGTATATATCAATAAGTATTACTTACAGAAATTTCCGGGCGGCTGTAAACTGTGTTTCGTCAGGGCACACCAGCCGACAGGGAACACGTCTCTGGAGTCAAAGGGGCACCAGTAATCAAAGGCGCCTCGCCAGCCGTCGAACATGACGAAAATCTCCAGACCTCTGACCTCTCCAACTGTGGCGGGACAAATCAGGTAGGGGTTCTTCCTGTCTACCGCCTCCAGCTTCATGCCAGGCTGGAAGTAGTTTTTAACTGCTGTGGCTGGTTCCTAATGACACACACACATAAACAAACACATTAATACTGTACAATCCGATTATCTCTGTTTCTATCCTGAAAGTATTTGAACATGATTATTTATTAAGAAACAACATTTTAACTGTGTTTCATTCAAACAAATCACAATTTTCTCCACTTTGCTGTAATAATATATGCCGCTGTGCCAAATCCAGTGTAATGAGGGCCCCACCAACTGTGCTCATTACTGCAATAGAAAAAGAAAAAATTAAACTACACATTTTATAATGTGAACTCAAAATGTATTCTTCTATTAATAACCCCAATTATAGAGAAAAAATACACATCTTTACTTCAAATAGTTACATTTAAATATTGTACAGTATGTTTTTGGTCAAATGTTACATTCATTTAAAACGCTGACACCTTGAAAGTGAGTCCCTATTCAAAATGAAATGCTGTATTACTTTTTTAATGAAACCAAGAATAAATTGACAGCAGATGTGTCAATTCATTTTTGGCAGCTATGGGGCTTCAGTAGCGTCTACCCGTTGCCTTTACCTTTTTAAAAGCAGAGGCAGGGGCCATCTCTGCTCCACTCAGCGTCCGCAGGAGGAACATGGGCCATGAGGAAGCATTCATCCTGAAACCTGAACAGAAAATCTGATTTATTTAAATTATTAAAACCCGAACAGAGTTGTTGGCAGTATGAATCATTTTGCCTAATGACACGTTTACCCATTTAAAAACTGCATGTCCAACAGCACATGCAGTTACTACTTGCTAGTGACTTTGAGCCTTTAGCCTACCATTTACTAATAACGCTCAAGAATTCCTCTAATGACCATGCTTTCATCGTCTTAGACGCATAAGATAAAGGAAGAAGAGACTTTATAATTTCTAAAAGATCTGATTATATCTAGGATCACAGCATATCATGACATATAAGAAAACGTTATTTAATTGACATCATCTGTTCAATTTCAACTTCAGATGTGTATTATTGCAGAGACTGGTTGGGTACGGTTAAATATTCAGAATTTAAAAAAAAGCAACCACATAGATGCTGAGATTATTTTGGATTTGACTTGCTAACACAATTAAGGGAAGTGGCAGAAATGCACAAAAAGGAGCAAGTTATCCTAATGAGAGACAAATAAAACACGGATATATGCTGCTGTACAATATTAAAAAAGGAAAATAAGCAGCTGTACATACATAACGAGAAAAATAATAATAATAATACTAGCCTCTAATTAAACTGAAAGAATATACTGTATTCAACAAATGGTCATGCCCGTACGTAAATGCCATGGAAACAGAACGTGGCTCTGTATAAAGCGCTGCTGACCATTTGCACACCTTTTTCAAAACACACCCGTGGAGAGCGAACTCCTTGAGATTCAACATGCAGGAAAAAGGAATGCATCACTAAAACGGCTGTTGAAACCCGGAGAGGCTCAATATCACCCTCAGTTCCCCAGTTAAGAGCAGCACCTGCAACTGGCCATGTGGGCCTTGTGTGGGTATACATGGCAGGTAAAACTTTTTTTAATTGATCATTACCCCTTATATCATACAAAGCCATTTCTGTGTTGAAATAAGTGAACATTCTTTAAGGTGGAAAGTTCATAGAATGTTGGCAGTTGGAATCAAGAAGGAAATATGACTTTGTACGATATCTTGAATAAATAAATACACATTTTGAAAATATGATTTTGTTTCAATTTTCCTTTTACTCAAAGTATTATTTATGTATATTCATAATATAACATGCTAATATCAAGCTCCAGATTATTTCCCACAAAACACAGCGTAATTATTCCCAATTATATTAATATTAAATCACAAAAAGAGACGGAAAAGGTATACCGGTACTCAGATCTTGTACTTAGAAGTATCAGAGTGTAGCAATACACTGTTACAAGTAAAAGTCCTGCAATCAAAATGTTACTCAAGTAAAAGTAGAAAGGTATTGGCATCAGAATATCCTGAAATTATCAAAAGTAAAAGTATGCATTATGCAGATTGGCCCCTTTTCAGAATAATATATATTATATGTTTTGAGTATAACTATTCATGCATTAATGTGTTTATCAAAGCTGGTAAAGGTGCAGCTAGTTTTTAATTACTTTGTTTAGTGCAGGTAGCTTGTGAATATTACTCCAATGTCACAAAAGTCTGATTTTAGTGTTGATTGTATTTCACATCATTAATCCAAAATCTGCAAAGTAACTAAAGGTATTCAATAAATGTAGTGGAGTAAAAGTACACGATTTACCTATGATTTGTAGTGGAATAAAGTAGCAACAGAATTAAATACTTGAGTAATGTACAAGTAACTCAAATGTTACTTAAGTACAGTATTTGAGTAAATGTACTTAGTTAAAAACCACTGAGTGTATTTCATATCTAGTATGAATGTTGAGGTCACATGACAAAGAAGCTATTGTGGTGACTCTAGTTAACCATAATTCACTTTTGGGTCACAGTTCCTACACGGACCTTGTTTAGTGTAACACCGGAGATATAGGTTGCCAAGCTAGAGCTAGCAACGCTCTCTAACGGATTTTTTGTGTGCTCATGGGCTGTTGGTGGACATTAAAAATAAACCTTTAGTGGATGCCATAACGTTTTCTTCTCTCGTGTGCACACTCGGCAGCGCAGCGTACGACGGGCTGTCGGGCTCGCTGTCGGGGGAGGACATTTTTCTCAGACTTTTGGCCGAATTTCCTGATCTGTCGCTGCCCACTTTCTCCGCGCTCACCACCAAACATGGCGTGGAGCACCACGTCACCACCGAGGGGCCTCCAGTCTACGCCAGGGCCCGACGGTTGAACCCTTCTAAGCTAGCCGTAGCGAGGGCGGAATTCGCAACCATGGAACGCCTGGGCATCGTCCGCCGCTCCAACAGCCCTTGCGCCTCTCCTCTGCACGTCGTGCCCAAGCCGAACGGCGGTTTCCGCCCGTGCGGGGATTACTGCCGACTCAACAATGCCACTACACCTGACCGCTACCCGGTGCCGCACATACAGGACTTTTCAGCGCATCTGGCCGGCACGAAAGGTTTTCTCCAAGGTGGACCTGGTGCGTGGATACCACCAGGTGCCCATGCACCCCCTGGACATTTCCAAAACGGCAGTAATAACGCCTTTTGGACTCTTTGAGTTCCTGCGGATGCCTTTTGGGCTCAAGAATACCGCCCAGACGTTCCAGCGCCTGATGGATTCGGTGCTGCGGGACCTGCCGTTCGTGTTCGTGTACCTGGACGACATCCTCGTCGCCAGCGTTTCAGTGGAGGAGCACCTGTCTCACCTCCGGGCGCGGCTCAGCGAACATGGATTGATCATCAATCCTGCAAAGTGCCTGTTCGGGGTGTCTGACATTAACTTCCTCGGGCACCGCGTCACCAAGGACGGTGCAACACCCCTGCCGGCGAAGGTGGAGGCTGTTGCGGCTTTTCCTCGCCCGCTTACAGCCCAGTCGCTGCGTGAGTTCCTGGGGATGGTGACTTTCTACCACCGTTTCATCCCCCGGGCCGCCCACATCATGCGGCCATTGTATGAGGCTCTGAAAGGCAAGACCCCCGTTCAGGCGATTGACTGGACAGCAGAGGCGGAAGTCGCTTTCACTGAAGTTAAAACCGCGCTGGCTCACCCTTTATCCACGGCTCCCATCTCCATCACTACGGATGCTTCGGACTACGCAGCCGGCACGGGCTGGACGGAGCTTGGCAACCGCTCGCCTTTTTCAGCAGGCAGCTGACGCCGAGGGAACGCAAGTACAGCGCTTTTGACCGGGAGCTCCTGGGTCTTTATTTGGCTGTGCGGCACTTCCGTTTTCTGTTGGAAGGCCGTGAGTTCACGGCGTTTGTAGACCACAAACCGCTCACCTTTGCCATGTCAAAGGTGGCGGAGCCTTGGTCGGCACGTCAGCAGCGGCAGCTCTCCTACATTTCGGAGTTTACCACAGACATTAAACACGTGGCTGGCAAGTCGAACTTGGTTGCCGATTGCCTCTCCAGGGTCGTCATCGGAGCCGTCCAGCTGGGCCTGGATTATGCTTGTATGGCGGCGGACCAGGTCACCGACTCCGGCGTCCCTTTTATCGCGACGTGGGTGTGTCGTTTTGGCACCCCGTCAGACATTTCCTCGGACAGGGGCTCACAGTTCACTTCAGAGCTCTGGGGCTCTGTTGCAGACAGTTTGGGGGTCAAACTGCACAGGACTACCGCTTACCACCCCCAGGCTAACGGCCTCTGCGAGCGCTTCCATCGCTCCATGAAGGCGGCGCTCAAGGCCAGCCTTACGGACGGTAACTGGGTCGAAAAGCTGCCCTGGGTGATGTTGAGAAGGAGGATCTGTAGTGCTCCACGGCGGAGATGGTTTACGGTCAACCCCTGAGAGTCCCAGGGGAATTCCTACCCAAGGCATCAGTTTCTTGGTCTCCTACGGCTCAACGGGTTTTCCTGCAAGATGCGGCGGAGGCTTTCGTTCCGGTTCCGACTTCTCAGCACGGCGCGCCGGGGTCTCAGGTGCAAGCAGAGCTACGCTCGGCTGGGCACGTTTTCATCCGCCACGACGCGCACAGGGGCCCCCTACAGCCCCCTTACGATGGGCCTTTCCGGGTTTTGGAGCAGGGGGACAAGCACCTGGTGGTCGACATGGGTGGCAAGGCGGAGACCGTCTCTGTGGACCGGGTTAAGGCTGCTCATTTGGACTTGGAGCAGCCGGTGGTGTTGGCCCGTCCACCACGACGGGGTCGCCCCCCGTCTTCGATTCCCGCTACAGGTTTGAGTCCTGTGGTCCCGGTTCCCACTTTGCCGGGAACCGCACGTTCAGAGGTTGTTTTAACTGCCCCCATACTCAAGAGTAGAGGGGGTCGGCGTGTTGTTCCTCCCCGCCGCACGGACTTTGTTTATCTGTGAATTCTGGGGGGGCTTGTGTGGTGACTCTAGTTAACCATAATTCACTTTTGGGTCACAGTTCCTACACGGACCTTGTTTAGTGTAACACCGGAGATATAGGTTGCCAAGCTAGAGCTAGCAACGCTCTCTAACTTGACTCTCATCACTGAGTACATGTCTGATATCACTATTGCTTGATAGAAAATAAAGAGTGGAAATCCATCTTAAATACTCCGCCTCCGACTCCTTCTTACCGGCACTACACTATTGACATTTTTTAATTATTAGCATACTTTTCAGTAATAGGCTTAGGCAAATTAGCAAGGTATGGAAGATAACATTGTTGAAAACCCTGTCAAACTAAGAGAGAAGACGTCATGGATACGGATCAAGTTCCCAGGAAGTGCGCCGGACTCTGAGGAAAATATTTGTTGTGGCCAAACGGCGGTACTACACTTCCGTATCAGTTGCTGGGCCCGGAAAGACTTTTTCTCATTGACTAACATTGGGAAAGAGAAGTCTGTAAATCGTTGGATAATTTTTTTTAAATCAAATAAACTAACCAGTATGAACATTTGTATAGCCCTTATTAAAAACATTCGCTCCTCAAGTTATAAAATGTGCTAATAGCGTTATTCTGACAGTTATTTTCCTCTGCATTATGAACACGGATCTACATCCATGGATCTAACCCACGGGACCGCGCCGCCCGGCACGTTCATGTGACGTGTTCAGTACTACATGAGTTTTACCTTTACCCATGGATGCACAATAAGAACGGATGATATGAATACTTTCGTGACGTTTCGCTCTCTCAAAAGTACGGCCATTTTATCTTCATGCGCCAATGAGCAACTCTCATAGGAATGAACGAGGCCCCGACTCCCACGCTATATCCAGTTCTATCCATGATCCGGATATACAACCTGAAAATAACTTCACCGCGGTCATTTGCGTCGCTTTTGCAGCATAACACCATAGCCTGCATAACACGCTCACCTCACCTTCCACCTGAATGGAAAACGGTTGATAAACTGCTAAAACGTCAGAAAAACAAAATAGTGTCTGCCTAATTAAAATCAGTTTGATTCAATAGTGATCCTTCCTTACATTAACTTAAAGTCAATGAACACTGAGATGGGGTGAGGAATCATAACCTCACGTGTTGCAGATCAAGCTGCTGTTTCACTGTAAAACGTGCATCCACACTGAAAGTCAACCATACTCTTCTGTCGGGAAATGCAATGACTAAAACCATGAAACAGTGAGTAAATAGCGTATATAAATAATAATGTGTTAAGCTGCAAGTATTGTGTTAGTCCACTAGCCATTATGCTAATATATTCAAGGTAAAATCCCATAGGCTTATGCTAATAACATTAGCGTTCTGTACCTGTGGTGAAAACTTGACAATCAGGGACTTTTTCTTAGCAGTGAAGCTTGCGAGTCATAATAGAGCAACATTGTGTTTCTTTTAGTTAAATCTCATTTCTGACAATCAATTTCTTTGGTTAAACTTTTTTTTTTGTAAATTAACTGCATAGTGCCAGCTTTTAACCAATTTTCACAGTGGCTAAACAGTGGAATTACAACTTCCGGGTCCGTCACGTGACACTATTGGTCCAATACATGTATTATCAATAGACTATTTGAAAAGAGAGGATAGTGAATCTGTTTATCAGGTAAACTTCCCAGTTTAAATGCTCAGTATACAAGAAAGTGCATACTGAGTATATCCCAAGACAAAAAATGTAGCAATGAAAATGTCCTGGCTGTGGAATGGATAAAGTATCTCTGATTATAATGCCAAATACAGTATGCCAAATACACCTGGATGTCTTTCTGCCTCTGGTTGCGATTGAAGTTTACAGGTCAACATGCTTCTCTGTAGTAGAATGTCCATATTGTATACACTCTGCATGCAACAGTTAACAATGTGTAAAGGCAGCTACAATACCTTTTGAACATAAACAAAAAACTATGTCATTCCAAAAGCATCACGACATCACCTGCATAACCTCAAGTATCTATGTTTAAAGACACTCACCCAGCGGTGGCTGCAGCATGTCTCCGGTCCTCTCACAGGTTCCTATTGGCTGGATGTCTAACGAATCAACCAGTCTCCAGAAGTCGTTGGTGTTGTCACTTCCATCCAGACGCAGGCGTAGGCGAGTGCCCATCATGCCCATCACCGTTGCAATGCACACAGAGTTAGAGTTGCGAGGGTCCCGTGCCTCAAGCTTCATTCCCGCTTTAAAGTCATTAGAGGGGGGAATTCTGGACTGCAGAGGGACACAAGGACCTTGAGTCACTATCATGTTTTGTGAGGACACATATTTTATGTATTACACATCTAATTATACTCCAATTAATAAATTGTGATTTATTTGAAAAACACAGTAGGCTACGTTGTAATATTGTCGCATACTGCAACTTCGTATGTATTTACAGTAAATAGAGAATAAAGCTGCCGATATTCATCGTCTAATGTAGCCTACTCAGCCAATTTCTTCCTACTGAAAAAAATTAATGTAAATCTTTAAAAATGTGTCAATAAAACTAAATTGTTTTCCTTTAAAAGCTGGTGGGGTAGCAGTATTAAATAAACTCTTTGATTTGGACTATTTTCAGCCAGCAGCGGTTTATTTGACTATATTTAAAAATAAACTCATGTTCATCGTAATAAAGAAACATATCACTCACTACAACAAGGGGATGTGTTTTTAATCTTTTTTTTTTTTAAAGAATGGAGCTCTATGGCACGGAAAAATACTCAGTATTCCACAGACAATTGTTAGGTTTTATTTTGCTCTTGGTCTTTGTTAACAGTGAGACAAATAGAGAATATACCTCAAACAACACATTATAACCAAACAACCCTAATTTAAAAACAAAAAAATGGCGGAGTGATAGCAGACTGTATTTAACCATTTTTAAGATACAAACATTTAAAGAAAACAACAAGGAGTATGAATAACATTGGACCCTTTAAATGCAATGATAATAAAAAAGCAGCTAACCTGTTTGAAGCAAGTCGGTGACGCTGCAGTCGAGGACGTTTCTCTCAGATAGTCTTCCCATCTGAATGATTCTAGCATAAAAAACAAACGGATGATTATTATAAGATCAGAAACTGCTTTACAGGTTCAAGTATGAGTACACATACAAAAAATGTCATTGAGTGTTTTGGGTTGCTCTGTGTATTGCTCACATACACAGAAATAGACAGGTAAAACAAGGTTAAACATTTACCTAAGATATAAGTATTTATGTGCTCTAGGTGAAAAACAAGATAATAAAATTATTAAAAGAGTTGGTGCAGAGTGCATCCTGAAAAAATGAATTTTAATATAATAGAGTTTTTTATAAAATCGAACATATTGTTTCTTTTTTTTCCAATAGCTTCCATGCAATGTGACCAATCAACTTCAAATCTGACCCAATGTTTGTTTTACTAAGGACACATAAGACATGCTATAAAAAACAAATAGCTTAATCAATAATTTTTCGGAAAGTGTTTCTTTTTTTTCTTCTTCAATCTATTGTAAAGGCCTCCAGCCACAGAGCATTATCCAACATAATATTGAACTACATTTAGCATTATTCAACTGATAGTTTGGAAGTAATGAGTTGCAGTTGGGAGCAAAACAACCATGTTTACTTGTTTATACCTTTGTTGCTAAATCTGCACCAGCCAGGAAGCTGAAGAGAAATACTCAAACAAAACTTTGAAAAAAAAGAATCTTTGGAAAAAATCTGGGAAAACTGGAAAAACCTTCTTAAATTGGAGTTTAACATATAGATTAAAATATGTTATTTACCCACACCAGAAATTTATAAAAGATAATAAACATAGGTTAGTGCTCGTTCTGGAACCGAAGCGGCTGGATTACAAAAGCTATTATCTGAAAGTTTTAGAGGGTTAATGAAAGGATTAACTATGAACAGAAAGAAGCCAGAGATCAGAGTTGCCAACCATTAGATTTGTCGAGGGGAGATCCTGCTGTGATGCTGCTGCGTCTCTCTTTCTCCTCTTTCTGATCTGAAATCAAAAGATGATTGAACTGCTCATCAGAATGTGGGAGCTGCTGACATACAGACTTTAATTACTGTGAGAATAAAGGCATAAAACCTGCTATGGGAATAGTTCTGAGAAAAGAAAGACTACCAAAAAATCGAATTATGTGGTTGGAAAGCGTTAGTGAGTATTTGTTATCCTTCTGTGTTTGTTTTATGATCAAACTGGTGTTGAAGTCTAGTACATTTGTTCAGTCAGCACTGTGAAGGCCTACCTCTGTGTGGTGTTCGGCCCATGATGACCACAGTTAAACGTGCAGGGTAAGTGAAGTCAGACAGGCTGCTACCTGCACAGACACAGAACAGGAGGGAAGGGTTTCATGTGATATTAAACAGCATTTCAAGTAAAAAGATGACAGTATTGTTTAGATATATTGTTTAAATAGTAAATACACATCTTTGATTCACATCCGCATCAAAATTAACAGATTTGAAACTAATGTGCAACAATCCTTTCCCTTTGCACTGACTTTGCATCGGATCCTATGTGTATGTTGGGTGAAAAAGTACCTAATGTTCTAAAATACATTTCTGATTTGCCTCTGGTAAAACTAAACATGGAAAAGTGTTTATGCACCATGACACAAACTTCAGGGAAACTTTTAGGGTTTTTTTTTCAATTAAGGCTTCAGTCTTTTATGTTTGCCCCTTAATTTAATTATCTTTATTTTTATTTGGTTGATTTGGGTTTGTTTATTTATATCCTGCACTAACATTTTACAGGGTAAGGGTTTTTTGTAATTTATATAAAAAACGGTCTGTGTAGCCAAGGCCAAGGTTGTTTTCCAATCTATACCTAAATATTCACTGAAGCTCCAAATGGGTGTATAATATATTTAAATATTCCCCCAGTAATGCAATAGTAACATTTGCTAAAGCTACTTAGCTGTTTAAAATCGAAACTTGGCCTTTTTTTTTAAATATTGTTGTCTGAGGTACGAACAGATGAGACCTTTGACACATTGGAGACAAATAAAGGCATAAAGGTCATGGTAAACAAGTTGGTTTGAGGAACAGAAAAACTAAATAATGTCATAATCAAATTGGATTAAAACAGATAATATTTGACAGTCTCTAAGGATGCATTACATTCCAATAAAAACATTTAATCCTATTCATTTTGCCGAACAAATAATTATGACACTGCATAAACCCTACCAACAACATGTTCACTCATGCCGATTTGAAATGTGTCAAAGGTCTCTACGTTTTAAGTTTTGCTTCAGGACTAACCTTTACTCCTGATGCAGGTTACATAATATTAATAAAATAAAATAGTTACCACACGATCAACGCTGAAAATTTGGCCCAAACATGTAGGTTCACAAAAACTCTGAACATACTCCCACTCCCTGGAAATTCTGTACATAGTGATAGCTCAAGAATGAAGCAAAAAAATTATCCACGGTATGAGAGCATCAAAAAATGTTGTGATACACTGTAATCCAGAAATGTAGATGTTAAATTCGCTTCAGAAGCCAGAAAATGTCTCCTTTTCCTGGTTTAAAAATCTCAGCATCTGCAATGCATTGTGTCTGTCCCTCCCTCTGAAGACCCTTCTGTCTCTGCAGCGAATCCCATTGAGCCAGAAGGAGCCATAAAGATTCCAAGCTGCCATAAAAAGCCATTACGACGTGTGGATGCGGGACGTCTGCGGGGCGACATGAAAAGGATTCCAACTCTGCTCTTCACTCAGCTGCAGCCTGCTTCAGTGTTTGCTCTGCTCTGCCTCTCTTGCTCAAGAGAGTCTGACACAAAACACCCATCAGACCAGGAAGCACTTCATTTTACAACCCCCATTTGCACTAAGGCACCCACTTATCTAGGATTAGAGTAATGTTCACTAACCTGAACAGTGAGAAGATCTGAAAAATGACCCTGAGATCTGGTTTCAGGAGGGGTCATAACTTTTCCTTGACATGAGGCGCTGTCACAATGTGACTTATGGTGGTTTTTCTCATGTGATAAAAGAAATGCACAAATAGTTATACTCAAAACTTTACACTCAAGATGTTTTGTTCTTATGATACTTAATTTGAAACAAAACAAATTCAGACATGTGAGAGGTTTCGGAGAAATGTACAAGTTGGCCTGGTGTATCACCCACAATTGAATTTCAGTGGAAGTAGTTGGAAGTTCAAAGCCCAAATACATTCCCACAAGACAAAGAAATAAAGCAGTCAATCTATGGAAGAAAAAATGACTTGATTTAACAATTAAAGGTTTGGCTATCCACTAGTTATATTATATATATATATATATA